AACATATGAAAACACAACTGATTTTTGTATATTAATATGAGACATGATTAAATCAATTACTAATTCTAATACCTTTTTTGTAGATTTCTTAGAATTTTCTATAATGATAGTTTTACTCAACATATACTTGTCAAATTTTCTGCATTTATCGTAATTCTTATATGGTTTTTCTTCTTTTTGCTGCTAATATAAATTACATGGATCAATTTTCTAATCACAAACTAGCTTTACATATGGATAAACTCTACTTGGCAATAATGTTTTAAATTAAAGAAGAAGCAGTAATATTGCTTGTTCTAATAATTACTATGTCTTGCATATGACTTGTGTTTAGTGAACACTTATTTTTAAATATAGTTAATTAAAAAATAAATACAAAGCAGGGAAAACATTTTTGAAAGATTAGACTTAGAGAAAAATATAACTTTGTAATCTTTCCTAAAGTAGTACCTTGTAGAATTATGATTTTTTGTTTTATAAACTTCCTTAACTTCAGAAATAGGTAACTTGGATCACACAGTAATCAATATCATCAACAGATAATCTTAGAATGGCAAATATAGTTATTTTGTTATTTTATATCATTTGCAGCCCGTGTATAGTAGATACCTAAATTGTATGTATGCATATAAATTAATCAATTTCACTCTTTTCTATCATTGTCTTTATCACCCTTTCACACACATGAACACATATACACACACATGTACAAATAGGAAGTGCCTTAATACATTGGTCCTTTAACTGACAAATGCAACAGTTTGCAACCCAAAGATACTATTAAGGCTTGGAGCAGCCAAACTGAGAAAATTTTTATCAGTAATTTTTCTTATGTATTTCCTCATGGTCTTAATGATTGGCATATGGTGGGGGCGCCTTGGTGGCTCAGTCTGTTAAGTGTCTGATTCTTGATTTCGGCTCAGGTCATGATCTCAGGGTCCTGAGATTGAGCCCCAGGTCAGGCTATGCACTCAGCAAGGAGTCTGCTTGAGATTCTCTCTCTCCCTCTCCCTCTGCCCTTCCCCCCAACTGAGGCACTCTTTTTCAATAAATAAATCTTTTTAAAAAAATTTAAAAAACAATTGGCATATGGTATATATAATTGCTTGGAGCAAATTTGATTTTGTGGCTTATCTCTACATAGTAGATTAAACACAGTACTTTAGCATGAGAAAATGAAACTTGCAATAGGTGCAGAGATGGGAGGATCTGAGAACCAACAGCATAAAGGGAGAGATTACAGAAAACAGACAAAAGAACTGAAAAGTGTAGCAGCTGGGCCAGCTCAGTGTTTGCATACTATTGTGCATGATTCATGCCCCTGAGAATAATCACCGAATTTTAGCACAGTCTAAGAGCCTATGTTGAAGATGATGAAATGGAGTCATTAAGAGTAAGTTAAGTCTAATCAGACTATTCTGTTTAACAAGGCATGGAAGTGTACAATTCATTTAAAAAAGCTGTCCATTAAAACAGTTAAAAGTATTTTGGCACCTTTTGGAGTAAGCTTTATTTCTTTTGGGAAATCTACTTGGACAATATGCTTCACCATCTCTTTGGTCAGGAATGCTGCCTAAAGGAGGAATGTGATGTGTCCACAAGCAGAACAGTCACCACATAAGGGCCACACGGTCAGCACACTGCCGACTTCAGGGGATGCTATTCACATAGATTTACAGTTTAGCAGCACTCCCCTTGGAACTGTGCAGGACTAAGGTCCTGTCCACAGGGGCTGGGATCTAAAGTTGCTGTTGTATTCACTGTTGTATCTCAAGTGCTAGGACAGCATGGGGCACATAGTAGGCACTTAGTAATTTTTGTATTAACTACGAATGTAAGCATATGGAACTACATTTAAGTTGCAACATTTAGAAACAAAATATTTGAGTTCTCAGAACTAATATTTCATTAAGTGCCCATTTATAATATGATCAAAATTTTCCAGATATCCTCTTTATATCAGACCATTTGACTCAAAGGTAATAGGGAAGTGTCTATAAAGGAAAGAACTGGGAAAGCTTCAACTTTATGAATGCCATGGAGGAGAGCTTCGAGTTTGTTCTAAGCTGGCTTTGCTTGCCAGTTCTTTCTTTCCTGGCCAAAAGTGGGAGCCAGAGTGGCTTCCTGCATTCTCAGGATTTGATCTTGGTACCTGGTATGGACAAAGTTTATCGTTCTTATTCTCTGCTCTTAAAACCTCAGTCTATCGTAAATGGATTTTGTGGTAGTGTTGGATTCTATTTAATACACTTTGTCAGTTCTAGTTTTATACCATATATAGAAAGCATTTAGCCACATGATGATACTAATGATGACAAGGCATTGAATTTGGAATCTGCAGATTAAAATTCTACATCTGGCTGAACGATTTATGCTAAAATAAATGATATCACATTTAAAAAAAAAAGACTCTCTAAAAGTAACTTTAGAATTATTATGCTATCATGGATAGCAAATAAGCAATTTGGAATCCAGTGTTTCCATACTTTATGATGAATAAAATGCTATGAGCCCTATTTAACATATTAAAAATTAACCATTTTCACAACTTTATTAATTTTTTTAAAGGCACATTGGGACACCAGCCAAGCACAATAGTTCGTACACAGTCATTAGACATGTACATTGGCTTCGAAGATATGTTGAAGAGAAGAGGGGAAGGGATTAAGAAAACAATTTTTTTATGGTATCTTGGAGTTCTTATCTTTTATAAAGTCAAAAATAGTTTTGAAAATACTGTAGAGGATGTGCTATTTATAGGCCCATGGTCAGCTTGTCAGATGTAATGGTTTTCTCATATTGGTCATTAATCTTTGTTTCAGCAATAATTGCAGACCACCATAAATTCTAAATACCCATGGAATTTCATGGTCTGAAATTATTCTGCAATTTAATGCTCTAGCATTAAAAATAGACCAAGAATTCAAGAATTTGTTTTCTTTTAATCAGTTGCAATGTAAAATGTTTATGAATCTCAATCTTGAAAAACTATTTTAATATGATGAAGTATTTTGGAACACTTTAAAAAGCCATAACAGGATTAGATTACATCCTTTATATTGGAATCAACAGAGGAACTTTTTTAAAAGCCATATTTAGCTACAGAGTTTTACAAGATTATGCTTAAGGTGCAACTTGAAATCACCTTCCAGATGTCTCATTTATAGAATATGACTGGTTCATCCATGAATCACCAACATGTCATTCTGCTTCCACATTGAAGTTTCATGCAAACTAAGGAAATACCAAAGCCCTCTGTTCTCTTGGGTCTTTTATTGTAGGATCCACACAGTCTGCACTGCCTTTTGATAATGAAAGCCAGCATTAGAAGATAGGCTATGCTTCCAATGGGGTCGACATCTTAGTAATTGGCCCTAATCACTTTGGAATATTATATCCCAGGTTTAGGCTTTTTTCCATCTTCCATATTTTATTCATCAATCATGGTTTCTGTCATAACTTGGCAAGAGTCTCTGGAATGCTGTATATTGTTAAAACAGCCCTCCATTTCCTGAAATAGACACTCTATGTATCCTAGAGTGAAGAAGTCTTTGGAGAAGGCCTTTCTTCTTGAATTAAGTCGTAGAGAAGAAACATACTCTTGGCTTAATAATGATCATATGTTAAATATCTATGACATGTAATTTCTTAAGATCCTTTGATGAATCAACTACTTTTATTGCATGTGACTGTTCCACTTAAATAATGAGGAAAATCTTACATTATCTGATAGAAAGCTGATGATATAATAATAGAAGTATTCCCTTGTATCAAAATTAGTTTAGTTGGGAAATAATAGTATTTTTAATTCAGAACCCACGATAAACAGCTGGACAGATTTCTTTATAACCCCTCGGAGATTCTTATTATTGATCAAATATTGATCTTTCCATGGCTTTACAAATAGAACTCAAAGCCCTCAGCACTATATGAAATTGTCTTCATATAGACTTGGGTAAGAGGAGCTCTCTTGCTATGGACTCAAAACTCAAAAGGCTACTCACAGCACAAGTCACATTTATTAAACATAACAAAGAAGAAAATGGGTACTTCTGTCAGTGACATAGCATAACCTGTAACTGTAAATATCACTCTCTTGACTAATACTCTTCAGGCACCAAGGAAATACTTCTTTCCATCTGCTATTCTCTGTCCTCCAAAGAAAGGTGGTTACATCCTATTGCTCTCAATGTCATGAAGGTTTATGGGTTTGATCAATCTATGGCAGCAGAGACAGACCTGGCTTATGGATTAAGAAGGCATATTTGTTAAGGTCGGGAAATACAACATATTTTATCTAAGTATTTGCTAGTTTGACTTAGAATTTTTAAATGTTTAGCTTATATTTTTGCCCTTGCCTCAATCCCCACCTTCATACATCTGACTCCTCTGCTCTCACTCATCTCTGTTCCTAGCACCTATCTCCGTAGACACTTTAGCCATCTTGAAATACTTGCCATTTCCTAGGACACCCTTATATCTCATTCGTTTTTCGCTGGTTGCTTCCTTTCTTAGAATATCTCTCCTTTTTCTTCCGAATGAAATTTTGTCATATTTAAGATTCTATTCAAGTGTTAATACTTCTTTAAAATTTTCTCAAGCACCCCACACTTCAACATAGATTGATCAAAAATAACACTTAAAATATGAAATGCTAATATTAAGTCCCAGAACACTGAGTGCTAAAAATTAAGTGCTATTATATATATTGACATAGTACCTAGGACATCGTAAGAGTTCAAAATGTTTGCTGTTGTTATTAGTTCACGTTGAACTTAACTGTCCTCCCCACCACACATACGCACACCAGATCAGCTAACTCTATTATGTGTTTCCAGAGCATTCTGTACTCCCATATTGGCTATTTTTAACACCCACACAATTTGACTAATATTTGTCTCTCTGGGTCTATCTCATTCATTCTTGTAGCCAAACATCCAGTATTAAACTGATTTAATGAATTAGTTTTGAGAGGGAAAATAAGAGGGAAATTTGGAGCGATGTGTGAGGGTCTGGAATACAGAAGTAAGTATGATAATGATGGAGCACATTAAGGAGTTTTTAAAAGAAATTTAAAAAGATATAAGAAATATAAAATAAATATTTAGAAAAGTAAAAGAAGGGATATTTAGACATTTACTTAGATGTCCCAAAGGATTATTCATCTGAAAATGGTAGAGAATTACTAAATTAATGAGTTCACCCCATCCTTTTACTCCAGTTCCATTAGAGATATTCAACTGCCTTACAACAACTGCTAAGATATTTTTCTTCAAAGTTAATGTGCCTCGTTTATATCTTTTTTAAGAAAAATAGTCTCAGTTAAACCTGAGGTAATTCTTTTTAGTGTAATCACCCGGCATATCATTGATGCTTAATTAATGTCAAATATTTGCCTTCTGCACAATAATTATAAAAAATGGATAAATTTTATCACTTTTTGGAAAAAGAAGTTTGATATAAAAATTGTAGTGGATGTATAGGAAACTATTCTTACTCTGATCAGCTTTTATATGGATTAGCAATACTATGGCTTTAGTTGATAACATATCTTAAGAAGATACCACTTTTTGATAGCATAGAAATATGGTATATTTCTTTTTTTAATTAAAAATTTTTTTTGAAATATGGTACATTTCTATGACAAAATATCGGTAAACAGCAAGATTGGTGGTAACAAACACAATCTAGTTTCTTTGGATTGGTATTATTGTTGATTAATTTTTAAGCTGAGTCATAGGGAGCATCTCCCATGTTTTTGACAACAGAATTTCTTTTTTCAGAAAATACTTTTTTGTGTTCCAGAAAAATATTGGAATGTATTGAGTGAAATTACAATTATGATTATTGTTTCGGTAAAAGAACTCTTCTCTCCTTTATATCTTATTTACCTGATTTATAAAATGTAAGAAGTCTTTTATTTTTTGAACTTTTCCCTTTCCTTTAAATAGAGTTATAATTGACCAACTTATATTAAAAATCAAGAAATAAGTCTCCACTTATAAAAAAAAAGACTGATTTTCTTACTCTAGGGCTGATAAAAATTAGCAGTAAAAACACAGCAAAGAAATAAACATCTTAAGTGGAAATTAAGTCAAACCTTCTAAAGTCTGTTATGTTCAAAAATCAGTCTTAGTGGGATTTTAAGTCTATGAGTATTAGGAGAAAACACTGAAGGTCAGGTAACATAATTGTGTTACAGAAAAGTTGATAGCTTTTTCAAAAGTCTTTTCTTTAGGAGCTCATTATCCTGCACAAAGTTACAAATTGTATTAGAAGGTACTTCCATCTGAGTTGAAAATTCTTTAACACATACTACAAAGAACTAGGTAAGGAAGCAAATTTAACTGCTTTAACCCTATAATTACATTTCAGTTATCTGTGTTTCCACATATCCATGAAGTATCCCAGTGAAATCACACAGAATCATTGCTGTGTACTTAACACACATAGTTCATGTATGTGACACAGTAGAAAAAAAGTTGATATATTAAACAGCAGAGGGATTAAATTTTTAAACTATGTTAAAAAGGATGTGGTAGAGAAAACATCTGGAAAAGAACAGGTTGACTGAAATAGGCCTGCACGGTTTCAGGAATGGAAGGTCATATTAAACTAATCTCCAAAAGAACTCTGAAAGTATTACTGCCAAGATAGACAAAGGCAATTCAGGGATGTAATACATTCAGATTTTCAAGGATCACGGGAAAATACTGGAGCTTAAAGTCAGTCTAGAAATACATTACACTTTATTTTTTTCCTTTCCATTGTTTTCAAAGATGACTATCTGGCATGTTTTTAAAATACATATGGATAGGCAGAAACAGCTATATTCATGAAAGAAATATTTATTGTGCTTACCAGGTGCCAGGCAGGTACTGATATGTGAGAAACAAGTGGTGTGTCTTCATCCCTGAGACTCCAGAATCTGATCTGAGAACCAGACAACTACCCTGACCATACAACAGAGAAACGCTAACCAAGACTGAGGTTTTGCATGATCTGCTTGAGATGTTTAAGGACAATGTGAATTTTAATATTAAGGATGAGGATAATCCTCATTCCTGTCCAATGGTGAAAAAATAAATATATGGAGGCGTATGGTTTTCTGCAGAAGAACTTTGTAGAAAGAGAAAAGAAATGAAATAACAGAATCTTAAAGCAAAATATTACGTACATTCTTTTAGTTATCTCTCTAAAGCAGCAGCTTTAGCTGTCTTAAAATTAGCTTAAACCCTATTGAATAGATGAGTCACTTAATCAGATTGCTAACTACAGTTATGACTTGAATCTAGCTGCATGTTTCATGTCTAATCATGGACCTATACAGCCATAAAGAAGAGTGCAATCTTGCCATTTGCAACAACATGGATGGATCTAGAGGGTATAATGCTAAATGAAATAAGTCAGTCAGAGAAAGACAAATACCTTATGATTTTACTAATATGTGGAATTTAAGAAACAAAACAAATGAACAAAGAAAAAAAGAGACAAACAAATAAACAAACAAAACGGACTCTTAAATATAGAGAACAAATTGGTGGTTGCCAGAGGGGAGGTTGGGAGGGGTCAAGCAGGTGAAGTCGCTAAAGTGGATTAAGAGTACACTTATCATTATGAGCTCCAAGGAATGTATAGAATTGTTGAATCATTATATTAACACCTGAGACTAATATAATAACACTGTATGTTAATTATACTTTAAAAAAATAATATTTTTTTAAATCATGGAAATATACAGCTAGAAAGAATCACAGAAAATTCTGGTTCAAAGATCCTTTAAATCTGTTCTTTAATTAAAAAACCCCCCATATTTTTATGGTGAAATAGTCTAGAAATCAATGGACTAAATGAAGATAAACAGGTTTTTCTCCTGCAAGAATTCTCAATGAATTTACTCTACTGTGCATTGTATTTTCTGCAAAAACAGCACAGTTTATAGCATTTCCCAAACTTCTTTGATTAAGAACACTCATGGGAAATGTTAATTTGAAAACTCTTTGGAAAATATTGCCTTAGCCCAACTCATTTACTTTGCAAAGATAGAATTAAGATTCAGTGAACTAAGTGATTTATACAGTGGGTTATAGTGAGCCAAGACTAAGAACTAAGCTTTTGAAGATTTATTTATTTATTTTAGAGAGAGAGAGAGCAGGAGAAAGAGTGAGCATGAATGGGAGGGCAGAGGGAGAGGGAGAGAGAATCTCAAGCAGACTCTGTGCTGAGTGGAGAGCTCTATGTGGGGCTCAGTCTCATGACCCTGAGATCAGGACCTGAGCTGAAAAACATGCCAGATTTCTTAACCCAGGCACCCCAGGACTGAGCTTTTAGATATTTACTTTAGCACTCATTGTTTCAAACCATGGTCTTCAATTTGCACACACACATCTCTGGGAGCTCAGAAAGATTTTCCAGACATATACAGGCATAGAGAGTTTTAAGGGAATCTGGCTTCATATTTATTTCTTAAAATTGATTTGCCTACAAACAAGTCTGGGGGTTGATCATGGGGCAGCGTTACTCTCTCCTTTCCTTTATCCCCTTCTGCAATGGTACATTGGAGGAGAGATTTCCATTTAAGGAAAAGCAGCATGTTTTTAAGGAATTTAGCTGGCTGTCATTGCCTATCCACAGAACTAGGAATAGGAATAGCAAACTAAAATCTTGTTATTTCAGCTTACACAATATTGGTCTCATTAATGCAATAGCTATCAATACCCACAGAACCTTAACATATTAAATTTCGATAGTAGTAGCTACTAATGTGCCACTGATTATTAATGATCCATGAAGTAACCTTTATAAATCATTATATTGCAAATTATGGACCAGCAGCTTTTATACATGTATACGCCACCTTTCTTTCTATTATTTTGGATGAAGTATCTGTGCATCTCTCAAAGGCCCTTCCATGCACGTACTAAATCCCTTTCTCTCTCACCTGCTGTACATAGAACTTCACTTCTGCCTTTCTCTTCCTGTCTCCTGCATCTACATATTTTCCTATTTGATTGGATTTCACATCAGTACGCTCACATACTATTTTTCTGTCATATTAAAAACAATCCTCTTTTGAGTTCACTTGCACCTCCAGCTATTTCTCATTTTTTTGTTTCCTTTGATAGCAAAGCATTTCAAGAGTTACCTACACACATTGTCTCTATTTTCTCTCTTCTATTCTCTATAAACCTAGCTCCCATGAATCTTTGGTTCCCCCAACTCAAAGCTGTTTTGGTCAAGGTCACCAAAGTCCTCCACATTAATAAGTCTAATGGTTAATTCTCAGCCTTTATCTTACTTAAGGATATTTGATATAGTTGATGACTTCCTTCTGTTTGAAATACTTTTATCAATGGGCTTCCAGAACCCTACATTCTCCTGGTTTTCTTTGTATCTCCCTTGCTACTTCTTCTCAGTGTTCTTTGCTGGATCCCCCTTACACTCCTATCCTTGATGTCAGAGTCCACAAGGCTTGCTTGTTTATCTTCTCATCTATAAACACTCTTCTTGTGACCTCACCCAGCCCCATAGCTTTCAAAACTATACACACATGACTTTCAAACTTCTATATTTCCATCCAGCTCCTTCATCTCGGTCTCCAGACTTACAACCTGGAATATCTACTTGAAGTCTCCACTTAGGTGTCCAAAAGGCATCTCAGAGTTAAAATTTCCAAACATTCCTCTTCCAGTCTTTTAGTCTTTTCTATTTACATTACTGACAACTCGATCCTTCCAGTTTCTCATCGTTGACTCTCCTCTTCCTCACACCCCATGCCCAGGGCCACTGAGACATCTTTTAAGCTCAAATTTCAAAATGTCTCAAAGCTATAACCATTTCTTACCACTCCCACTACTACCATTCTGGTTCGAGAAACTATGATCTCTTGCCTGACTTTGCTGCTTCTATCTTTGTACTCCAACACCATAACACTTCCCCATTCCTCCTCTAAAATCTGCCACAGCAGGCAGGGATATCTTGTTAAAATGTCTGCTCAAAATATTCTAATGACTATTTATCTCTCA